GGGCGGGGAGCAGAGGGATACAGATCCTTGGAAAATAGGCAACATGTTTAGATAGAAGATCTGGATTGGTGCAGGCTTGGAGGGCCGAAGGGCCTGTTCCTGTGCTCTAATTTTCTTTGTTCTTTGTTCTTTGACCTTTCAGTGGGAGAGCATTTTGAAAACAGTGATTGCAACTCCCGCACGTTTTAAGATAGCTATGTATAAGGATAAATCAGGATCTTGTGGCAAGATACTAAATTGGGGGAACTGCATTTTACTTCAGTATTAGGCAGGAGTTATGGAGTGTTAATTGGTCTGAGCTTTAATCAGGCAAGTCCACATTTGGCATGTGGAGATTGTTTAAAGACCTGCTGATGAGAGTTCAGGACCAACATATTCCAGTAAGGTGGAAGAACAAGGATGACAGGGTAAGTGACCCTTGGATAACAAGGGAATGAATTTAATCAAAAGGGAAAAAGAAGAATATGTAAGTTTTATGAAAATAAAATTGGACAGAACGCATGAGAAAAATATTGAAAGCAGGAAAGAAATCATGTAGGGAATGATGAGAGCAAGAAGGGGCCATGAAATGACTTTGGCAAGTAGATTTAATGAGAATCCTAAGGCATTCTAAACATACGTTAAAAACAAGAGAGTAACTAGAATAAAAGGTAGACTACTCAGGATAAAGGAGAGCACTTGTGCTTGGTGGCAGAGAATGTAGGTGAGATGCTAAATGAGTACTCACCCAGGTGAAGGATATGGAGGACAGTGAGATTTGTTTGGAGCAACGGTGTTTTGAGATCATGAAAGAAGTGGTGTTGGGTTCCATTGAGGAGCATTAAGGTGGCTAAGTCCCCAGGGCCTGATGGTACCGACCCCAGGTAATTGAGAGAGGCAAGAGAGGAAATTACTTGTGCTTTGACAAAGATCTTTTTGTCCTCCTTAGCCACTGGAGAGGTCCCAGAGGACTGGCAAGTAGGTCATGTTGTTCCTCTGTTCAAGGAATGAAGTAGGGGTAGTCCCACATCAGTGTTTGGTGAGCTATTGGAGAGCATTCTTAGGGATAGGATTTATGCGTATTTGGAGAAGCATAGCCTAATCAGGAACAGTCAGCATAGTTTTGTGCAGTGCAGGTCATGCCTTAACATGTTTAATGTATTTTTCAAGTAGGTGATGAAGGTCGTCAAGGAGAATACAGCAGTGGATGTTGTCTACCTGGATTTAGTCATGCTTTTGACAATGGTAGCCTCATCCAGAAGATTAAGATGCATAGTGAGTTGGTGACCTGGACTCAGAAATTGCTTGCCCATAGAAGGCAGAGGATAGTGGTGGAAGGTTGTTTTCCTGGCTGGAGGTCCATGACTAGTAGTTTTCTGCAAGGATCCAGACTTGGGAGTTCCTCTGTGTGTGATATATACAAATTACTTGTATGAAAATGCAGATGGGTGGGTTAGTAAGTTTGCAGGTAGGATGTGGAGGCTTTGGAGAGGGTACAGAAGAGTTTTACCTGGATGCTGCTTGGGTTAGAGGGTGTGAGCTTTAAAGAGAGGCTAGAAAAACTTGGGTTGCTTTCTCTGGAGTGGCGGAGGCTGAGCGGAGACTTGATGGAAATGTAAAAAATTATGAGATGCATAAATAGGGTTGACGGTCATTATCTCTTTTGCAGAGTTGAATTGTCTGAAACTAGGTGTCATGTATTTAACGTGGGAGGGGTGGAGGGAAGTTCAAAGGAGACATGAGGGGCAAGTTGTCATTTTTCATCACCCTTTATTGCTGTCCTTTGCTGATTTATTTACTGTACCCCCTCCTCAGCTCTGTTGATTTTTCCTCTGGGTAATATGTATGGACTTTCCATGGATCTAATATTATCACCGAATAATTTGGCCACATTGCATATTATATTTTCATGCCAAATAATATTGATTAATTGTAGTAGATTGCCCATGCACTCTTTGAATGTTTGTCATTGACATTCCTGCATGAAAGATTTTAGTAACATTGCCCACTCCATTTTATCCTACACATGCCTTATACCATCGTAGCTTCCTCTGTGTCAATTCAGGTCCCTAGTCTCAGAATCAAGTACAGCACTCTCTACCTTGATGAACATTTCTCTCATAATATGATTACTCATTCCCCAAGGGTCCTCACACAATTAACAATGATTTCTTTTGCATCACACTACTCTCCACTTGAGGGTGGCCATTGATTTCGGTTTGATTTGTTCCTCCTGTTCTGAACAATCACTTTGAAACCCACCAAATAGAGATCAGCTGTTCAACAGTAAACAGATCTCAGAGATTGTGGAGTTTCTTACAACGATGGCCGGTAGCTGACTGCCCTGCACATTGAGTCAGTGCCTGGTCAGACTTTCTGAGAGGAGAAGGGGCAGGGACTACCTCAGCTGTAACACAGGAGGATTGTTTACAGGGTCTGTGCTACATGTCCAATTCTGTTAACCATATCACTCACAATGAACAATACAATACCAGGGAGATTTGAGGTGGGGGTGTGGGGTTGCAACAATGGTGATTGTTTTAATAGGGGGATGGGAGTGTACATCAGCATGTGAGTGTAAAACTGGGTCACAGTGTTACACAGTAATTTATCATTTGACAGTCTGGTGCTGTATCTGTATTATAAAGAAATACATGTAAATATATAGACAGCACACGGCAGCATCCCTTTGAATACACAGGAGAATTATTGTGTTGTGAAGCACGGTCACTAACTATGTTTGTAGGTGGGTTAAACCGAGTGTATATCTCAGACATTGGATGATAGCGTGATGGATCATTGAATATGATCATGGATGATCAGGAAGTTTAAAGTCTCTTATCTATATTATCCCATAATGTCAAAGACTGAGCTTCTGCAACATCTGGAATACAGATTTTACAGTAATCACCATTTCCTGTGAAAAGAAAACCTCCCTGTTTCGCCCCTAAATGGAATCTCCTTTCTTTCTCAATTACTGCGCCCAGGTTCTTGAGACCACTGGAAGGGCATTCATCTTCCCTGGAGCTACATTGTACATGTCTTTTGGCAAGTTGTAGGTTTCAACATGATAATTTCTTATTCATCTAAACTAGAAAATATAGGTCCCATTCCCCAGTTTTTTCTCATAGCACTCTTCTGTCATCTCTGTAACAAGTTGGGTGAAATGTCATTGCACTCTTGATGTGGCGATTTTATCTTCTTTTGTAAATAAGGAAACCAAATGCACCACTATTCCAGGTGCAATCTAACCAATTTCTTACTTGTTTGAAGCAAGACTTTTCTACTCCTGAACTCAAATTGTCTTCTAATAATGACTTACATTCCACAATCCTTTGAAATAGCTTGCGTACCTTCATGTTAGTCTTCAATGACTTATTGACAAGGACATCCAAGATAATTGTTCATCTGCACCTTCCAACCTCTCATCTTTTTGCAATTACTCTGCACACCTGGCTCCCAAACAAAAGCGTATAACTCACCTTTTTGACATTATATTCCAGCTGTTACATTCTTGCCCAATAACTAAGCCTCTCCAAATCCTCTTGAAAATACTTACAGTTTCCCCACATCATGCATTAATGCTGACTTTTGCATCCTCTAAAATATGGAGAGTTACACTTGTTCTCAATCCACAGACATGTATCAAAATTAAGCAGCATCTACTTGCCAATTATTCGCTCAATGATTCTCAGTTCAGATTCCACTAGGGCCACCCAGATCCTGACTTCATTATAGCTTTGATTCAAACATAGAGAAAAGAGCTGAATTTCAGAGTTGAGGTGAGAATAACAATGCTTGACATCAATGCTGCACCTGACTGAGTATGGCATCAAGCAGCCCTCAGCTAAGGTAGAGCCAATTGGAATCAGGGAAATCTTGTTGCTGGTTGGAGTCATTGCAGGCACATAGGAAGATGATTGTTGTGGTTGGAGGTCAATCACCTCCACCCCAGGACATCTCTGCTGGAGTTTGTCAGGATAGTGTCGTAGGCCCAACCATCTGCAGCTGCTTCATCAGTGACCTTCCCACCATCAGAAGGTCAGAAGTGGGATGTTCACTTATAATTGCACAATGTTAGCTCCACTGAAGCAGAACATCTCCATATCCAAGATATGGACAATATACTGGCTTGGGCTGAAAAACAACAAATTACATTCACACCACAGATGCCCATTTCCAATAAATGACAATCTGACAATCATCGCTCACCTCAGCAGCATTGAATTCTCCAGTATCAACATCCTGGGAGTTACCATGAATCAGAAACTGAACTGGACTTGCCATAGAAGTACATAGCTCAAATGCTATGAATTCTGCAAGGAGTTACCAACATCCTGACACCTCTCCACTATCTTCAACATTCCTGTCCAGAGTGTGACACTTGAGAAACAAGATACAACACTCAAGAAGCAAAATATCATCCAAGAAAAATCACCCAACTTGACGAGGACCACATTTACAAACATCCACTCTCTCAACCATTGATGCTCAAAGCACCAGCATGTAGCATCTGCAAGATGCACAGCTGAAGTTCACCAAGGATGCTCAGACTGCACCTTCCAAACAATCGACCACTTCCATCCAGATGAACAAGACTGGTGTGTACATGAGAATAACATTCCCTGCACGTACTTGTCCAAGCCACCCACTCGCCTGACTGGGAAATTTTTCAGCCATCCCTTCAGTGTCACTGGGTCAATATCCTGGAATTACCTCCCTAACAGTATTGTCTCTATCTGCAGTACATAGACTGTAGTGGTTCAAGAAGGCAGCTGATCACCAAATTCTCAAGGGCAACTGAGGAGGGGCAATCAAAGCTGAGCTCAGCCAATGATGCCCATATTCCACAAGAGATTTTTTGTCCATTAAAATGTCTGCTTTATTCTTGCCTAGTAACTAAGCCTGTCCAAATCCTCCGGAAAAATAAAGTTTTATATCTTCCCCAAAGGACGCATTTACATTCATGGCCATACCTTCTCTCAATATGTTTTATTTACATTTGTTTTCAAAGTCTAAAACACGGGTCGTTATGGTGAACAACAGCGGCCTTTCCTTGCGTTCCTCAACACGTCTGCAGCATGTCTCACACAAAAATCAGTCATCCAATTTAAATGGCATTTGTATGAAGTCACAGACGGGTTACCACACAGGTGGAGCTGAACCGGACCTCCTGGACCAGAGATGTGGACATTACCATGGTGCCACAAAGTTCATCACATTGTCTTTGTGAGACTCACACATTGATCCCTCTCTGCATGAGCAATGCGGAAACCTGAAACGTTTTCTACCATTACCTCACGGCCCCCATTCCATTGCTGAAACTGGGAGGAAATAGAATTGGGGAAATGACCAATCGATGTTTGTTTCCGGAAATCGTTGGCGAAAGGGCGCATGCGCGATGCTCCCGCACCTTCCATGTTGATTGCTCCTGACGAGAGGACTGTATGCGTGAATCCCTGCCTCTGAGGAGTGTTTACTCAGTGAGTGGAAGAGGTTGTTTGAAACAGACCGTGATGGAGACAATAGCGCTCAGGGAAACGAGGAAACAGCAAGCTACTTCCTGCATTTGGGATAAGTTCAGAGAGAGTCGGGGCTTGTTTATAAGAGGGAGAGCGGAGCAGAAACTGGTCCCGGAACTTGGAGTGAGCGGCTGGGGGAAAGAGAGAGGCCTTTCTCGGGCTGCGTGTGAGCCTGCTGAGGGAGACAGAGAGTGGACAATCTGCTCTGCGTTAATCTTTTGGTTTCCAATCCTATAAACACGGATGAAAATTAATTGTTTGTTGACATTGTTAAGTGAATCTTAGAAACGTGACAGTGGTATAAAGGACCTGTATTGGAATCACTGGATTAAAAGTTTCGAGTGAAACATACGAGATAGCGTCCGTTGATCTGCTTTTAAACAGTTGGTGGGTTGGGAGCTGGATATTGAACTGTGTGAGCATTCGGGTTGCTTCCGGGAGCTGCAGTCATGGAGCTGTTCCGTTGTTTCTCCGTTTTCGGATCTCGCTCATTTAGTATAGAATTACGTGGAAAAAAAATAGTCAACAGACACGGAGCAGCTCAGAGCAAGAATGGAATCAGACCAGCGGTTCTGTTTAAGTTGCTGAGTTTAATGGAAAAAAAATCCTAATGTTTAGAACAGAATGTTACATTAGGCGAGTTTGACAGTATCGAACTGATCAATGTTGATTTACAGGAAATACCTCTGTCTTCCTTCAGGCAGATGCTTGACCGACCAACACAACATAACATTTCTTTGTCGCAGCTCCTTTGAATAAACAGCAGGTATGGTACCGCTGAGAAAATGGAGAACATTCTTTCCGCAATGTCAGAAATCACACGACACCAGGTTATATTACAACAGGTCGTAGACACCAGCTTTCGGAGCCTCAGTTCTTCTTAAGTTGTTAGTGAGAGAAGTAGGAACAGACACAGAATTTAGAAGTAAAAGATAAAAGGTTCACACCACTGATGAGGATGTATTAAACAAATCTAAAGTGCTATTAAATCTTTAATCAGAAGTTTTTAATTGACTAATATGAGTATTGAAATCCTTGAATTCCTTTCAACTCACAGTCCTGAGAGAACTAAATGTTTTGTCAGTGTAAAAAAGAGGTGACATTTCAGGGCAGACGATGTATTTTATGTGTGAGACCTTTTTTAGAATCTGTGTTGTGTTTTAGTCTGTAGTCAGACAATTAAAACCATGTAACTGACTTACAGATTTAACACCATCTTAGGTTTGTTTAATACATCCTCATCAGTGGCATGAACGTTTGTTCTTTTAGTTATAAATTCTGTCTGATATTGCCTCTCTCACTGACACCTGGAGAAGGACGGAGGCTCCAAAAGCTTGTGTTGAAAAATAAACTTGTTGGAAAATATCCTAGTGTTATGTGATTTCTGACCTTGTTCACCCGAGTCCAATACCAGTACCTCCGCATCATCCTTTGCACAGTCACAGAGCGAACTGAGTCAGACACACACATTGAGCTCAATTTCCAGGGAGGTGTGCATAAACCAAGAGAACACCACCAAGGAATTACAAGTATTTTTTTCTTGCTTTTCACAAGGCACACCACCTGAGTACCAATAAATTTCATCATTGATAGGCCATTAACATTCACACAATTTTCTTTAAGTGTTATAGATTGAATGATCATCCAAAATAAACACGAGGGAACAGCATTACCCGTGACCTCAATGTAGGTTTGAGGTTTCATGTAGATCATCATGTTAGATATTTTCAACAACTTTGCATGAGGTACATGGTATAAGCACTGCATACTGCTTTCGCAGACAGGAAATTAGTGACCAAAGCAGGGGACGAAACTTAGTTACATTGAGTTCATGAGTAACTGAGGAAAGGAGTAATCTTTTGATGAATGGTGTCACATACTTAGACACTATAATTTTAAAAAAAAGTGAACTCAACAGAGACACTTTGTGGCAAAGCCTGATAAAGTGAGATGGCACATTCACTCACAATCTGATGGATTTAAAATAAGATCCAGACACAAAATATTGAGAGACCCATGTTCTAACATCAAACAGCCACATAACATCAACTGACAGGTATAGTTTGATAACTGCACTCGCATATTCACAGAGCAGAATCTGACCAATACATATTTAAAGCTACACTAGCGCATTCACCAGACTGACAGCTATAGATCAATTAAAAGCCTCACATGTCTAGATACCCAGCCAGTAGATAGTCCCATTCATGGGAATGTACTGGTGTTGGTTTGTTTCAGGATCTCGCAGAGTTGGTGTAGAATTTATATAAAAAAAATCTCCAGATGAGAAGCAACTCACAACAAGATTGGATTCAGACCAGTAGTTCTATTTGAAATGCTATTTGAAAGAAACTCCTAATTGCTATTGACTGACCGTTAAATTGATCAGTTTGATGTTGTCAAACTCAACAGATATGTCTCCTGTCTTTCTTAGGTAAATTCATAAAAGACCAAGACAATGTAACATTTCTTCGGTGCAAAGCCAAATGTGACCAGCTTCTTCTGACAAACAACAGGTATGCAATCGCTGTCTGAGCAGAGAACTTCATTTCCACAGTCAGAGTGGACTCTGACAGACTCATATTGAGCTCAATTTCCAGGGAGATATAAGCAAACCAAGAGTCAGACACCACCAAGGAAGTAGAAGTTTATTGTTTCTCTTCCTCCATTCACAAAGTAAACCACTCCTTTTCCAATAAATTTCATCAGTCATTGTCATTGACATTCACACCATGATTGAAGAGCAATAGACTGAATCCTCATATAAAATATACACACAGAAAGTAACTCAAATCTACATTTATTGAAAGCATTTTTAAAGTTTCAACCAAGGTTTAAAAAAATCAAGCTGTTGTACGTATTTCAACAATCTTACTTGAGGTAGATGTTAATTAGAAATATAGAAGGAAACTGCACTTACAGATAGGATATGTAAAGTAAAGCAAGAGTCACGACTGCATTTAGTTTACCAATCACTGAACAGGACAGAGTTACTCCATTGGTAAAACTTTATCCCATGCATAGACACAACAAAGAAATAATGTGAATTACAAACACACTCTGTGCCAAAGTCTGACAATAGACCAAAAGAACTGCAGATGCTGGAAATCAGAAACAAAACCCGAAATTGCTGGAAAAACTCTGTGAGTCTGGCAGTATATCACATACAGTGTGATAGAGTTCAACAGCACAGAAAATGGTCCTTTAACCCAACAAATTTGCAGAAGTCAGGTACAACCAAAGAAATATTCTGCTCCCATTTGGATAGCATTTCATTTCCATAAATGTATGCTGGCAGAGGAGCTGCCATGCCCAACTTTATCACAGCATAATTCTCCATTTCTTCCCCTTGTTGGAGGAATAGAATTTTTTTCTATTCTCTCTTCAGGAAGACTTATTTTTATACTTGCGTGCTTTTATTTTCAAATTTGCTTAAGCATTCTGCAATGAGCCCTGCATACCTACTTCTTAACCCTGTTTATGAAGTATTAAATTAAACTGGACCCTGTCTGTTGAAAGTCTGTCACGTATGAGCAGAGTTTGGAAAGACTATGCAAAGAAACCTGCAGCCCCATTGAATATTACATACTGACAAGTAGAGAATTAATTCCCATGTGCAGAAACAGTTGAAGTGAATGGAAGAAACAAAATCAGTTCTGCATTTACATAGAAGTTTAAACAGTTGCAGGCTGCACCAGTTATTCTCCATATTCATGCAGTTAAGGATTTGAAAGAAACTGATGAATCCTTGCCTCAACAAAGAGTGTAATGAGATGGTGCCAATACACAGTAGGTACAGAATAGTTTGCAAATTACAGAAATACTGCCAGGTTAATAGTTCCCCAGGCAAAAACAAAATATCACAGGATTGGGAGACCTAGACTTTCACAAGCAGAGTTGAGGAGGACAAGATGAGAGCAAAATACTTCAATCTTGGTGTGTCAATACACTCCCTATAGGATGTAACTGCATGGGACCGCCTTGGTCACGAAGTAAATTGGATTTGTTCACTACATGAGAAAACACTGAATCTATTGCACGATGCACAATGAATGCACTGAAGTAGTCCAAGAAGTAAATTGAACAAAAGAACAAAGAAAATTACAGCAGAGGAACAGGCCCTTCGGCACTACAAGCCTGCACCAACATGCTGCCTGTCACAACTAAAACCACCTACCCTTCCTGGGATGGTATCCCTCTATTCCCATCCTATTCATGTATTTGTCAAGACCCTTTAAAAGTCACTATCGTATATGCTTCCATTACCTCCAGTGGCAGCGAGTCCCAGGCACCCAGAACCCTCTGTGTAAAAAAACTTGCCTTGTACATCACCGTTAAACCTTGCCCCTTTTCCACCCTGGGAAAAAGCTTCTGATGTTCCACGCTGTCTGTGCCCTTCATAATTTTGTAGACCTCTGTTAGGTTGCCCCCACAACCTCCGATTTTCCAGTGAGAACAACCCAGGTTTCTCCAATCTCTCCTCATAGCTAATGCCCTCCATACCAGGCAACATCCTGCTAAACCTTTTCTGTACCCTCTCCAAAGCCACCATATCCTCCTGGTAGTGTGGTGATCAGAATTGAACGCAATATTCCAAATAAATCCAGATTAATTACATCTCCAAATATCTCACCATGTCTAAAACCTGGAGTGTAGCTAATGTATCAATTCCCTTTATGCAAACTGGAGGAATTATGTATCAGGCCAAGTTTCGGATTGAAACAAATGTTGCAATTTAATTAATTTCCACAGTAATACAAGTTGAAAAGCAGCAGACACCTTAGACAAAATGACTGAATGAATACTTTGTTGTTAAAGGACCAACAGTGTTAGAGAATGACAAACATATAAACACATGACCTTTACAGGACCTGACACCGATGGCAATAGATGAAGTTTCATTCATGTCCAGTAGCGGAGATTTGAACAACAAAACAGAACTTGAGCAATTTCTGAAAGTGACATGTTGAACTTAAGATGACATCCATGAACTGTGGAACGCAATTATAAAGAATGAGGATCACATTGACATTTAATACCAAGACTGAATGAATCCTATGCACAGTTAACTTGGTTATGATTACAGCACTCATATTTGTGCAGCAGAAACCAACAGGTATGGATCAGTTATGTCCCTCTCGTATTTACTTAGCAAAAGCTGGAAAGTACACGTTGAAACCATACTCGTATATTCACAGAACAGAAACTGACTGGAACAAATCGATAACTAAATTCACATATCCGCATTGTAGAAGCTGACAGGTACAGACTAATAACTAAACTCTAATATTCACGTTGTAGAATCTGACAGATACATTCACAACCCAGAAAGTGTTAGGGAAAGCTTGATAAATACACACTGTGATTCAGATCAGAGTCTAAAGGAACAGATTGGTGAACATTTGTACAGCAGAGACTGATAGGAACAGTTTGATAACTAAATTCAGTTATTCACAGATACATATTGATAACTACACACATTCACTTAGCAGAAGCTGACAGGTACTTACACATTCACATTGCAGTAACTGTTGGACAGATTGATGATGGTGCGCACGTTCACATGATTGAACGTGACAGAGAAGTAAATAAATACAATCAGAAGGCACACACTGAAAGGAATCAGCTGACAAGTACACTCTCACATGCACATAGCAGAAACTGACAGAGACAGGCAGTGAGTTTACTTCCACATTCACTAGTAATATTGTCGCTGGACTGTAAATCTAGAGACCCAGATAACGTTCTGGGCACCTGGGTTCAATTCCCACCATAGCAGATAGTGGAATTTAAATTGAATAAATATCTGGAATTAAGAATCTAATGATGACCATGAAACCATTGTCGATTGTCAGGGGAAAAACCCATCTGGTTCACTATGCCCTTTATGGAAAGAAACTACCATCCTTACCTGGTCTGATCTACATGTCACTCCAGACTCACAGAGCAATGTGGTTGACTCTTAACTGCCCTCTGAACAATTAGGGATGGGCAATAAATGTTGCCTAGCCAGCGATGCCCTCAACCCGTGATTGAATTGGAAAAGAAAGAAGATAACAGGCACAGAATGATAACTAAACTCCCATAATCAAGCATTGGAAAATGACAGGTGTGTATATATATCCCTATATAACCACGAACAGACAGGGAAAGATTGATAAATACACTGCCACTTTCATATAGCAGAAACTGTCAAGGATAGGATGATGTGGATCTGGAGGAGCACAGCAGTGAGACAGCATCCAAGGAGCAGAAAAGTCAATGTTTTGGTTCGGGACCCCTCATCTACTCTGCTGAAGGCTCCTGACCAGAAATGTCGACTTTCCTGCTCTTCGGATACTGTTTGACTTGCTGTGCTCCTCCAGCTTCACATTTTATTGACTCTGACTTCCAGAATCTAATGTCCTTGCTAACTCCTGTGGGTAGAATGATAATTACACAAACATGTTCCATGGGCTGACACTGACGGGTATAGATTGATACCTGCAGTTAAACACTCACATTGCAAAAACTAACAGGGTTAGATTATTAAATGCACTCACACAGCATGTACTGACAGGCACAGATTAATAGCTACATGCATACATGCGCAAAGGAGAAATGGATAGGATCAAATTGATGATAACACTTCCAGTTCAACATAACATAAACTGTCAGGTACAGTTTGATAACTACAGTCACTTATTCACAGAGCAGAAACTGACAGGCACAGATTGGTACCTCTACTCATACTTTGCAGAAAGTGAGAGGAGCAGGATGATCGCTACAATCACACATTTACATTACAGTAACTTGATGACTAATTTCATACATTCACATTGCAGAAACTAAGGCCTAGGTAGATAACTGCACAAACATATTAGCATAGCACAAACTGGCAGCTACAGGTTAATAAGTAGGCTGATAACTACAACTACACATTCATACTTCAGTAACTACCAGGGACGTGAGTGATGACAGCACTCACATGTTCACATGGCAGAAAGTGACAGGTCCAAATTGATTGCTGAACTCACATATTGACGTAACATCAACAAACAGGCATGGATTGATATCTGCACTCTCACCTTCATGCAGCAGAAACTGACAGGTACAGGTTGGTAACTACACTCACACATCTACTTTTCAGAGGCAGATTAATGATGACATTGTATGAAGCTGGAGGAATACAAGAGGCCAGGCAGCATCAGAGGAGCAGGAAAGTTGACATTTCTGGTCGGGAACCGTCTTCAGAAATGGGGAGGGGAAAGATAGCCTGGAAATGAATAGAGACAGGAGGGGTAAGGCTGGGGAAGGTAGGTGAGATGATGATAGGTGAGTGCAGGTAGGGAGTGGTGGGGACTGGTCATTGGGATGTGTGGGTTGGATAGGTGGGTGAGAAGATTGACTAGTTGTGTCAGGTCAATGGAGGTGGGGATGAGAGGGTGGGTTGGACATGAGTTGAGGCCAGGGGTGGGGAGATTTTAAAAGTGGTGAATTCCATGTTTTGGCCATTGGGCTGTAGGTTCTCATGGTGGAATATGAGGTATTGCCCCTTCAGTTTGCGAGTGGTGTCATTGTGACACTGGAGGAGTCACAGGATGGACATGTCACCCAGGGAGTGGGAGGGGGAGTTAAATTGGTTGGCGACCAGAAGGTGTTGTTGTTTGTCGCATACAGAGCACAGATGCTCTATGAAATATTTTCTTAGTCTATGCTTGGTATCACCGATGTTTAGGAGGCCACATTGGGATCAGCAGATTCAGTCGACCAAGTTGACAGATGTACAGGTGAACCCTTATCCGATATGGGAGGTTAGTTTTTTTGCCTTGAATGGAGGTGAGGGGAGTGGTGTCGTAGGGGCAGGTGTAGCACTTCCTGCGGTTGCAGGGAAAGGTGCCAGGTCGATCAGTGGGGAGTGTGGAGCGGATGAAGGAGTCACAGAGAGAGCAGTCCCTATGAAAGGCAGATAGGGATGGGCAGGGAAATATCTCTTTGGTTTGAAAAAAATACCTGCACTCTCACATTCACACAGCAGAAACTGATAGGTACGGGTTGATAATTACACTCACATATCTACAATTCAGTAATTGACAGAGGCAGATTAATGATGACATTCACCTCTTCACAAAACAGAAACTGAGAGAGACAGTTTGATAACTCAAATATTGATGTATGAGAAACAGACCGTAACAGATTAATAACTGAACTCATATACATACAGCAGGAGTGACAAGGACACTCTGATAACTCCACTCACAAATTCGCATTTCAGTATCTGAGTGTTACAGATTAATAACTACACTCTCACATTCACAAAGCAGAAACTGATAGTTACAGATGGGTAGAGATTCTCACACATTGACATATCAGAAACTAACAGGAATAGATTGATGAGAGGCAACAAGGTGCAGGGCTGGATGAACACAGCAGGCCAAGCAGCATCATAGGAGCAGAAAGGCTGACGTTTCGGGCCTAGACCCTTCATCAGAAAAAGGATGGAACAGGACACACACATTCACATAGCATAAACTGATAGATACAGATTGGTAAGTTCACTCACGCAGTCATTAAGCAGAAACTAACAGTTTCAGTACAGTAACTACTGTAACACATTCACCTTGCTGAAACTAACAGGTACAAATTAGTAACTACACTGCCATATTCACACAGCAGAAACTGAGAGGAACAGACTGATAATGACACAGACATTGACAGAGCAGAATCTGACACGTGCAGATTGATAACTACGCTCATTGATAGAGCAGAAACTGACAGGCATAGGTGGAGAACTTCACTTACACATTCACATAACTGAAATGGACAGGGAGAGAATGATAATTACACAGATGTTCAAACACGAAACAAAAGTGACAGATACAGATTGATAATTGCATTCACACATTCAGAGATTGGAAACTAATAGACAGAGATTAATAACTCCATCATGCATTCACAAAGCAGAAATGGTCATTTACCGATTGATGACTACGCTGTCAGATTTTCTGAAGAAGGGTCTCGACCGGAAACGTCAGCTTTCCTGCTCCTCTGATGCTGCCTGGCCTGCTGTGTTCATCCAGCTCTACACCTTGTTATCTCAGATTCTCCAGCATCGGCAGTTCCTACTATCCCTTTAGGATTGATGTCTTTTACTTTGCAAATGGCACTGTGGAATGTTTAATTTCGGTGCTATGTTTGTCCTTTCTAAAATGGTCTGTAAATGAATGTGGTCAGGAAGATTTTGTGCGCTTTATTCTCAGTCGGATTCGAATACAGCCTCTTTTCCCTGGCGAGAGAGAACATTTTTAACGCCAGTGAATCATATAGCACGGAAACAGACCCTTCTGTCCAACCAGTCCATGCAGAACACAATTTCAAAACTAGCTCCAACTGCCTGCGCTTGGCCATATCCCTTCAAACATTTCTTCTTCGTGCACTTATCGAAATGTCTTTTAAGCTTTGTCTCCCCAACTTCTTCTGGAAGTTCATTCTGCACACGAACCACTCTGTATAAAACAAGCTGCCTCTCATGTATTTGAAAAATCTTTCTCTTCTCGCCTTAACGTATGACAAACCCCCAAGTTGAAATCCCCCGTCTCAGGGAAAAGACACCTTTCATTCACCTCACGATTTAAAAAGCTCTATTAAGTCACAGTTCAACCTCCGAGTCATTTCTAAGTTATATTGTTCAAATTACTCTTTAATACCACAAACCCCTGTGGGCTATGAACCGAGAGATTCACCCCCGGTCAAACAAAAATAAAAGTGTGCCGACATTTAATCCCCACTGGTGGATACAGTTTTCACGCTGTATGAGGAATTCTGTTTTATTTCCAAATCTCCACGTGGCTTTTGTCCGATTTCGCAGAGTGCTGTAAATGAGGTTTTCTGCTGTCAGCGAGAGGATATCAACACGAACGGAGATAAAACCAGAACAGCTGCCGGAATGTTATATCAAGTGAGGAGCTATTGCTGAAGTCTGATCTAGTGCAATAGGGAGGGTGACTTTAAGATATTGTTTGAGGTAATCATGCGCACACGCGGAAGAAGGCTGCTTTTTGTTTTATCATTACATCGGTGTGTGCTTGGAACGTGAAATAAAAAGATGTGCAGAGTGCAGTGTTTGGCTTTTGTTCGGTTTCCGTCTGTTCTTAACGTTCAGAAAATCCCATTCAAGATAAGAAATGGAGAGAGAGAGTCGAGTAGACAAGGAAAAGAATAAAGTGATTGTGTGAAGGATATGTTTTTATTGTAAAAGTACATTTACTCATATGTATTTATGCCTTCCTCTGTGGAAGACCTCTTCCTATATTGTACGGATTTTCAAATTTGAAAGAAAGCGGCTGAGTTTTCGCTCGTCCCCCACATCTACCGCTCCCTTTCAGGGCCATCAGCTACAGATCGCGTTTCGCGAAGGGAGACAACAAAGAGACAGGGATCCTACCGGGAGTAAACAATCAAGTACTGTAATATATTACAATAATACATCATTTTAATAGTATAATACAGAACATATTGTGAAATCACTGTTAAGATCTCTATTTTTATCTTCACTGCCGCTGCCTGCGATTTCTCCATGACTCAGTTACCTCTAATCCTCCGCAATTGTCAGGCAGATTCACAGCTCCTTTAGTAACAGCTGAACTGACCCGTCACGACAGAGCAATTCAAAGGTCTGTAATAATGATACCAATGTTCTCGATCGATTCCTGCTCTTTCCGGGTGGTTTGGTGGCTCTTAAAGGAGCCGTTATGTTTGACGGTGTCAATGGGCAGGGCCGGGCACGCTCCGTTCAGGCGCGCTCCCCGCGGATCCGACGGGCCAGCTGGATGTCTTTGGGCATGATGGTGACTCGCTTGGCGTGGATGGCACACAGGTTGGTGTCCTCAAACAGCCCCACCAGGTAAGCCTCGCTGGTCTCCTGCAGGGCCATCACGGCCGAGCCCTGGAAGCGCAGGTCGGTCTTGAAGTCCTGAGCGATCTCCCGCCCCAGGCGCTGGAAGGGCAGTTTTGCGGATCAGCAGCTCGGTGGATTTCTGATAGCGGCGGATCTCCCGCAGAGCCACCGTGCCGGGCCTGTAGCGATGAGGCTTCTTCACTCCGCCCGTGGCCGGAGCGCTCTTGCGGGCCGCTTTGTTCGCCAGCTGTTTGCGGGGAGCTTTCCCTCCGGTGGATTTGTGCGCTGTCTGCTTGGTTCTGGCCATTCAACTCACTCTCTCTACAAAACACATAGGCGGCTGCTGCGGTGCTGCCTGTTTAAAGGAATGGAGAGCCCGCCCTAGAGTTGGATTGGATACAGCACGGTCCCTCAATCCAATGAGAAACAGCTGCGGAAGGGACAGAAAAGCCAACAAAATAATCTTGGAGGCTGAGTGGTTATCTTGAAATGACGGTTTGTCAATTTCAAAAAGCCCGCCGATTTCACCGGCTTCCATTCCTAGATAAGTTAAATATTAAAACGCGAAACACAATCCTTCTGCAAACATGATAAAATTTTGCACTTGGTGGGACCTTTCTAAAGCACAGATTGCAGACAGCGCCATCATGACGCGGGATCATTGCTTAATCTGTGTGTAAGAGGCAGGAGGAAAGCGAGGGTTTTAAAACAGCCCAGACAAACGGAACGGTCTTTCTGCTGAAGTTAAATAGGGGTCTAAAATTGTTTCAGAGATAGTAGGAACCGCAGATGCTGGAGAATCTGAGATAACAAGGTGTAGAGCTGGATGAACACAGCAGGCCAAGCAGCATCAGAGGAGCAGGAAGGCTGAAGTTTCGGGCCTGAAGAAGGGTCGTTAATCAATGTAAAAAACGTTGCCGATTTAAACATCTTAAAAGTCAATACAGTGTACTCCGATAATTACAGAATCTCATTGTATCCGTATATGTCTATTTCAACCCGTTTATAATTAACCAGATCACAATTTGTAATTTCTGTTTGAACTGTTTATAACAGGCAGATGCAAATAACGCATCATCAAAACATCCACAGGGGTCCCAGAATCAAAACTGAATGAAGTATCTTTCTTGGAGGGGTCAATGAAATGCAAATACTGCAATACATAACATTAGTGTCTGGGCAGAACTACAAGTCGCGACGTGTTATATTACACGTGAAACAACCAGCTAAAGCACACTTCACGGTGCCATTGACCATACAGTCTCATCCCTTAACCCACTGAGAAACAGCTCCGGAAGGTACAGTAAGTGCAGTAAATTAATTGCTGAAAGCTGATTGGTTAACTTGACATGACAGTTTGTCAATTTCAAATAGACCGCCGATTTCATCCTGAGCGTCAATAAATATTAAAACGAAACAAAACATTCGTCTGCAACTAAGATTACATCTTCTACTTTAGAGTTATCTTTTAAAGCTAGCTTGCGGACAGGACGCGGGATCATTGCCTGATCTGTCTTTAACAGGCAGGAGGAAAGCGCGGGCTTTAATACATCCCAGACAAACTGAATGTGTAACCACCGTTAATCTAAACAACCCGCCGATTTAAACGTCTTAAAAGCTAATACAGTGTACATGGATAAAAATACAGAATATCAATTAATCAGTACATTTTTAGTTCATCCAGGTTATAATTAGCCTGAACACGAGTTGCAATTGTTGCCGAAACTTTCTGTAACAGGCAAATGTAAAGAACACGCCACTAAAACATCAGCACGGGTACCAGAATCAAAATGAACAAAGTATCATTCCTGCAAGTGTCAATGAAGTATAAAAACTGAAATATGAATCATTAACATTTGCTTCCCAAAATTAAAAAAAGAATACATTATTATTCATAGTACGGACAGCCAACTACGCATACTGGTATTATTACTGATACAGACAGGTATTCAGAAGAAAGAGAATCAAAGATTAAGGGGAGAAAGCACATCAGGGTTGAGAGACATATCAGCCATGATCGAATGACAGAGCCGACTGCTGCGCCTGTATCTTAGCCGCAATGTGACATAACCAGCATCACAGTCTAATGTCAACAAGGTGCAGGGCTGGATGAACACAGCAGGCCAAGCAGCATCATAGGAGCAGAGAGGCTGACGTTTCGGGCCTAGA